AAAAAATAAAAATAAAAAAAAATAAAAATAAAAAAAAATAAAAATAAAAAAAAAATAAAAATAAAAAAAAAATAAAAATAAAAAAAAAATAAAAATAAAAAAAAATAAAAATAAAAAAAAATAAAAATAAAAAAAAAATAAAAATAAAAAAAAAATAAAAATAAAAAAAAAATAAAAATAAAAAAAAATAAAAATAAAAAAAAATAAAAATAAAAAAAAAATAAAAATAAAAAAAAAATAAAAATAAAAAAAAAATAAAAATAAAAAAAAATAAAAATAAAAAAAAATAAAAATAAAAAAAAAATAAAAATAAAAAAAAAATAAAAGACACCTAAGTTTTCAAAACAATTAGAAATCTATTCTCATTAATATTCTTAAAATATAAAAATAAAAAAAAACTAAAAATCCTAAAAAGCTTTTAAGTTTTCATCTTATGAACATACATGATAACTATTAAATATAACTGATCTAGAATTACTCATCTAAAAAATTTTGCTAAAAAAAATTCATCATTAGATTAGGGAGAGTTATGCTTTGCTAATAGGTTAATAGTACCAAAATTTCGAAAGAAAACTTTTTGTTAGTGCACAGAAGGTGCTTTCATAAGGAAAATGAGTAATTTTTTGATTTTTTTTTGATTTTTTGCGTTTCTTTTGCATTACACCCGATTTTGAAATCTGATTGGCCAGTGAAATTTTTTACAATATTTAGACTTTTTGTTCGTAGTGTTGTGGATCAAGGCAAAAACCATTGTTACTATACAAATTATTGGCCATAACTTTAGTAAGGCTAAGTATTATATGGGTAGCACAAGAGAAAACCTGGCAAAGTCTGGGTTTACCCTTGACCTTTTAGATGTTTGCAGCTATAGTTTTTATTGGTTATTTTGGCATAGAAAGTTCTAGATTTTGAATATTAATTTTTATTTCCAGCTGATCTTATAATAGATTTGTAATACTGTATTGTACTACCCTTAAATAACAAGAATTAAACTTATTATTAAATGATCCACCAAAAAGATACTAAACATGTAAGTATAATTATGAAAGAAAAAATTTGGAGATTATTCCACTATTATTGACTATGAACAAGGCGTATTTCACGAAATATGGGAAACGTTAAAGTCATAAATATATATTTATTAATTGACCATAAGAAGAAAATTTTATCAAACCTGCTACATTAATAAGAATAATTCTTATCTTGTTATTAATAATACCAACTTTTATTGTTGTAAGATTTTCAAAAAATCTAATAGGACACATACGATACGTTTACATAATCCAATTTGGAGATGATACTTCATTCCACGTGATAAAAATTCCAAAAAAAGTTTTTTGAAAACTCATAGAAGTAGTACGTTGCCAAAGGGTAGAACGTGAACTTGTAATAGGGATTTTCTGTATTTGGTGGGTCGGATGTATATTGGATTTGGTCCATTTAGTACGTACGTATGTATACGCAGTGAGATGGTAGTATCGACACTAAGGTGGCTTGGGTTTGATCTACTAGAAATACGTACGTACGTACGTACGTAGATACAATCAGACCTCTCTAATAGTCACCTCTTCTATAGTCACATTTGCTTATATTCAAAATTTTAAAATCAACTTATACAACACTTATGAAATTTAATCTCTATATAAGCACAAATTCTCTATAAGCACAAACTCTCTAAGCACAAACTCTCTATAAGCACCAGATTCTTAAAGTCAAGGGTGTGATTATAGAGAGGTTTGACTGCATTCGATATGTTCAATATATCGTATACGTCGAATGTGTCGTATATGTCGTGTATGTCATACAGTATATGTCGAATATGTTGAATTTAGTGATATGTTCATTATATACACACTAGTAATGTAAAAGATATAAAAGACTCGCCTTTGTGCTTCAATAAAGAAAAAAACTGGCAGATTTTGAAACCTTCTAAGTACTTTAGTAGAAGTATTTGGCTCTACTAATTTCTCGATAAATAAATCTGCAGTAACGATAGGAATTAATGACTAAATCCCGTGATTTCGTATTAAGAGAACCGTGACTTAGTTTAGAACTCTAGTTACTCGGACCAAGTCTTCCCACGCCTTGATAGAAGCTTTACCATTATTAGGTTTAGTTAGAGTAGTTTAGTTAGTATAAATTGTAATGTATAAATTGTAATGTTATGTTGTAGTATTTATCCCAGAGTATTTCCGCACTTTCACAACGTACTTGTTACATTATAGTATTTTCTACCATATATAATTGTAAATTATTCATCTTATGGAATTTACATATCTTATATTTATGAGTCTTTTATCAATTACGCTTAGATATATGCACATCCTTCTGGCTGCTTTATTTATTATGGCGTGAAACAAACATATATAGTAAAACCTCCATAAGCTCACCTTCAATAAGTGCACACCCCCTCCAAATGCACACTCAAAATTTAATCCAAATATATATAACATACCTCCATAAACGCACCTTTTCTTATTATTCTTTAAGTGTACATTATTAAAGTTTGGTTCACGAGCATGCACTTATAAAGATTAAAATCGATATATTGCAACAACAATAGAATTTAATTAGGGATGGGAATTTAACTTGGTTTGATTTGGTTTGATTGATGCGGGATCTGTATATATTAGATTTAAATTAAACCAAACCAAACTAAAATCATACTCCCCATCCCTAATTTTAATAATTCCGTGTTTAATTTTTCCTGCTAAATAATTAAAAATACCAAAAATGGATGCATTCATAAGTATAATAATAATAATAAATATGAATAAATTTTTATAATTCGAATCATGATCATCCCGCATACTAAAATTAGCAAGTTAAGGAAAAAGAAAACTCAAATTGATTTAGTTTAGTTGATACGACTATTGCTCATAATAAGATTTGAAGAATAGTTACTGGTCTTATTTTAATGGCTTCCTTTAATGAATACAAATAAAATCATTATAAAGAATTCCGCTGTCATGAAAATTCGGACAGCATTATGACTTAAATCCTCATGATTGAATAACTAAAATGGCACCGTGATCGAGTCTATTATTATTGCTCGAGAGAAACAATACAGATATATGAAAAATATTCCAGCAACGACTTTATTTTTAAAACGAAGAAAAAATATATAGGAATAGGTCCACTATCCTAAAGCTCTTAAATCGTGCTGAAATTATTACCAAGAACATAATCTGATAACACCTAACCTTCAAATCATAGTTCGAACGATTTCAAACCTAAGGATCAACAATACTCCATAGGAACTAACTGATCAAATAACGATATACTCAGTACACTTAAGTCTGATCCTTGCACTGCTAATGCAGTCTCATTGCACTATTCTAAGCCGCTGAGTCACTTAACAAGAGTACAAGGTGAGCGATAGCTAACCTGATTAAGCACTCCTACCCATTCTACTTACCATTCACGCGCGCAATTATAATGTTAAACTTACTATTCACATGCTAAAAATAACCGTTAGCCCGATACCGTTATTCCTTACTACCAGTTATTTGATATTCAAAGAATAATCATATCGATATGCAATCATAATTTACCCCACAATGTGTATGTACCTAGATTCAACAAGAACCGATAACGATAATGAACACGAACATAAAAGGCTACAGCAAATATAATTTACATATAACGATGGGATTGTTGTCCGAATAGTGATAAACAACCCTGGTAAACAAATACTAAATTCCAAATATTTGAAGACTATTACATGTAGAAATTGTTGCTGAAGAACATAATATTTGGTGGTTATAAATTTCTTGTAATAAAATAAATAAGCTTTCATTTAATGTAAAAAATCTTATTCCTTGCAATAGAATAATGACATTAAAAGTACCTTCCTTTAAAGCAAATTTATATATATTTTTAAGGGCTTAGGCTGTGGGAAGAGAACTAATAGTTAAAAGTCTCATATGACCAAAATATCACACATATTAAAATATTAAAGATATTATTTTCTATTATAATGTGTCATAATTGTGTTAGTTGTGCGTCATTTATATTATAGAAAAAGTCTACGTAAGAATAAACAAATAAACGGATTGGCTTATTTTTATTGGTTCATTTTTATTAATGAAGATCAAAATGCATCTGTAATATAAATACATGGTCCTTGTACAGCATTAAGAAATAGACTTGTGTGTGGCAAGGTCACACAACATTTATTCTTGATACAAACAATCAATTTCACATGTAAATAGTGTTGTCTTTTCTCTGAATCTGCGGTGCGTGTCTTTACATTCTTTCCGTTCACTTTCCATGAAATTTTAAATATATAATTCATTCCTTCATACAAGCTTCTTTCTAGTTTTATTTATATAGAAAGTCTTGTTCGCAATGAGTGCAAATAGCATTTTGTGCTTATTTTTAATCATCCACATATCTTGCTTTACGGCAATAAATATTAAGGCTGACAATAAAAAAAGCGAAAATGCTATCATAACCACAGAATTTAATCAATCTTTTAATTCTTGGCAAACTAATAATTATCAAATGCAAAATTTCACGGAAAGTCCTGTTGGTGACAATGATATCAATATCTTCCCTAGGATCGCTGCATCTACCTTATTTGCTATACCAACAGAAACAGAAACCACAAAAACCACTCCGACAGTTGCTTTAGATTGTTGTGACAGAGGTGGACCTGGTATTATAAATAAATTACCAGGTGCTTTTTATAGTATAAGTTATGATGCAGTAAGTTTAGAAGATTGCTGCAGAAAATGTTCTGCTGATTCCGCTTGTATTGGATGGGGCTATAACATTAAAACTAAATCATGCTTTGCCGAATCAATCAATGATCCAGACGCAGAGGAATTTTGTAAATATTCAGCAGATCACTATGCAAATTTTGTTGGGGGAAGACCTGGGTGTGGTGGTTGTAGAGCTAAGATTTAAAATACCTTAAACTTTAATATGGTAGTTCTGTAAATGAGAAAATTAGAATAATGGTGCTTGTATAAATATTTTCTGCACATCTTGATTAATTTTTTTGACTATTAGTTTTTAGTTTTACAGAAATATAAATATTATATGATGCTTTGTATTGTATTAAAATTAATTTAAACTTAATATGCACTGTGTCGAAATATTGAAATATTATTTAATATA